AGGTGTTTTATTAAAAACAGATCTATTACTTTATAATAAAAAAACATTGATATTATACCTTACCAAATAGTTATAATGTATAAATTAGCAAATTTCCAAAAATGCAAAAATTATGTAATGACTGTTAGAAATAAGACAGAACATTTCGTTTTAAAAATGTACAAAAAGTGTTTTGTGATGTCAAAAAACAGAAATTGTTGCACACATAAATTGTGATGATGTAAAAAACATTGATAATATAACTGCATTGACACATAGACTAAATCAAATTAGATTCAGTCGCTAATATTCCACAACAAAATTAATTTGGAGCACAAGGTTATGCTCAAATGTTTTCCGTGGTGATTTTTGGGTTTCATAAATTCGTTTTTTTGAAAATGCAAAGATCGAGTTGTCTGTCAAAGAAAACGTTTTACTGGAATTCACAATATTTGACAGTGGATTTTTAATAACAATTTCTCGTAATATTTTGGAAAAGTGTTGTCTGTCAATTTTTCAGAGGTGCGAGAAAACAATAAAAGAGACACTCGAAAAGGGTAATGTACGATCTTATACAATAAAAAGTGTCGTTTTAATTGGTGGAAGTTCTCATTTTCATGAATTGAAAGAAACGTTTAGAATAGTTTTTCCCGATCGACCATTATTAGAGTGTGAAGACATTAATTTGGTTATCGCTAAAGGTGCTTGTTGGTATGCACGAGACATGGCTTCACAAACAGTCAAAAATCATATCACACAAATAACAGCAAGAGATGTGAATACATTGATGACATTAGTTGATGACCACAAAGAAAAAACAGGGAATATATTAGTTACTTTGATTAATAAAGGAACACTCCTCCCAGTTGAAAATGTTACTTTCAGTGTCCCAACAATCACACCAACTGTTTCAGTCGTACTTACAGAAGACAGAAGTTTGATTGGAAAATTGGAAACTACTCTGAGATTCAATTTTTGGGATAAAATCACATTTAAGTTTGAAGTTGACGAAATAGGAAAAATCAAATTGGTTGTATTGGACAAAGATGGAAATCAAGACCCGGGACAAATTGTTGTCGATTGACAGAATGAAGACAGAAACAGAGAAATTAAAAGTACAGGCAAATCTGAGAAA